CAATCAGCTTGTCAGATCTACAAAGAAGCCAGCTGGAATTCTGACAGGGAATCTGTAGATCAGCTTGGAGAGTACTATCATCTTAACAATGTTAGTCTTCTCATTCATGAACACTGGATGTTTTTCCATTTATTTAGATCTTCTTTAATTTCTTTCAACAATGTTTTGCAGTCTTCAGAGTGTAAGTTTTATCCTTCTTTTGTTAAATTTATTCCTATGCATTTTACTCTTTTTCAAAAAGTTCTTTATTGTGCATTAAGTGAAAGGTTACAGAACATATTAGCATCAGATTCAATAGTTTGTACATAAAGTGCTCCTTGACACTGGTTTCATTCCCCACAATTTGTCAGCACTCTCCCCATTTCCGTCCTAGGTTTTCTGTTTCCTTTCATTCTGATTTTCTACCCCTTTCTGTCTTCTCATCTTTGCTTTTGGGCAACTGTTGCCCTTTTGATCTCATATAATTGATTGTTCTAAGAAGCACGCTCCTATTGCGTGTTATTTATTTTATGGGCCTGTCTATGGTTTGGCTGAAAGGTGGTCTCCGGGAATGTCTTCAGTTCCAGTTCAGAAAGGTATCTTAGGGCCACAGTCTTGGGGCATTTTACTCTTTTTGATGCTAATATAAATGGAACTGTTATCTTAATTTTGTTTTTGGATTGTTCATTGCAAGTATAAAAAAATATAATTGATTTTTCTGTATTGATCTTGTATTCTACAACTCTGCTCGACTTGGCTTATTAATTGCTGCAGCTTTTTAGTGGATTCCTTAGGATTTTCTATATATAAGATCATGTCATCTGTGAATAGAGATAGCTTCACTTCTTCCTTTCCAATCTGGATGCCTTTTATTTCTTTTCTTTTGCCTTAACTGTGCTGGCTAGAACCTCCAGTTCAATGCTGAATATAAGTGGTGATAGCAGACATCCTTGTCTCGTTCCTGATATTAGGGGGAGAGCGTTCAGTCTTTCACCATTAACTATGAAAATGGCTATGGGTTTTTCATAGATGCCCTTTATCTACTTGATGAAGTTCCCCTCTACTCTTAGTTTGCTGAGTGTTTTTATCATGAAAGGGTGTTGAATTTTATAAAATGCTTTTTATGCATCTATTGAGATGAGCATGTGATTTTTGTTTTTATTCTACTGCTATGATGTATCACATTACTTGATTTTCGAAGTTGAACTATCCTTGCATAAATCTCACTTGGTCACGGTGTATAATTATTTTATATGTTGTTGGATTCAGTTTGCTAGTATTTTGTTAAGGACTTTTGTGTCCATATTCATAGAGATACTGGTCTGTAGGCAATGAAGCCATCTGCATGAGGGCTTTTCTAATTCAATCTTTTCACTTGGTATAGATCTATACAGATTATTTTTCAGGTAGCTGGGGGTAGGATAAGAAATGGTGACTCCTGCTCCTCCCAGGAAGAAAGCCCTCTGGGTGGGAGCTGGGTCAGAGGGAGCCCTGTGTTCTTGGTTGTAGAATGGAGACAAAAACACAGGGCTCTCCCTCACTAAGATAGTAGCAGGGAGGGAGGGAAGGAGAGAGGGGTCTTGGTTCAAATACCACAGACTCTTACCTTTTTTACCAAGTTTTCATAGATTATCTTGAATAGATATATTTTTCATTTGCTATTTGCCCTTAGGATTATTTCCAGAGGCTTTAAATAGTTGATTTTTTAAAATAATCTTTATCACTTTCACTAGAGAGCAGGTTATCAGAGCTCCTGTTGTCATGCTGGAAGTTGATCTCTGAATCCCCTTTCTTGCAACACAGTTCCCCACATCCTGCTATCGCTCTGTGCCACCTGCTCATGCAGCCAGGCCCTATCAAGTAGTTTTCCTACAACCCTACCAGTTAAAGGAACAAAGTGATGGTTTGGGGTCACTTCCCATCAGGGATGACCTATAACCTCACATTCATTGGATGCTCTGTGCTCTCCAAAGAGTCTCTATGACCATGAGTGTGATGAGCTGGAGTAAGCACCCTCTTCTCACAGATGAAACTAAAGCTCAGTGATTTACAAAATTTGTCCAAGCAAACAATTGACATTCGAAGATTTCAATTCAATATGTGTAGAAAATTCTGTCTGATAAGCATTAGTTCACTCACTATGTGGTACACTTCTCTTTTTAACAGATGTTGTTAGGGGCCGCCGAGTTGGTTCTGACTCATAGCGACCCCATGTACAAGAGAACAAAACATTGCTGGGTCCTGCACCATCCTCACAATCATTGCTATACTTGAGTTCATTGTTACAGCCACTGTATCAATCCATCTCAACGAGGGTCTTCCCCTTTTTCGATGACCCTCTACCTTACCAAGCATGATGTCCTTGTCCAGGGACTGGGGCCTCCTGATAATATGTCCAAAGTACATGAGACAAAGTCTCACCATCCTCTCTTTCAAGCAGCACTTGGTGTACTTATTCCAAGACAGATCTGCTTGTTCTTCTGGCAGTCCATGGTATATTCAACATTCTTTGCCAACACCATAATTCAAAGGCATCAATTCTTCTTTGGTCTTACTTATTCACTGTCCAGCTTCCGCGTGCATATGAGGCAACTGAAAATACCAGGGTGTGGGTCAGGCACACATTAGTCCTCAAAGTAACATCTTAGGTTTTCAACAATTTAAAGAGGTCTTTTGCAGCAGATTTGCCCAATGCAATATTTGTTTGATTTCTTGACTGCTGCTTCTATGGACGTTGATTGTGGATCCAAGTATAATGAAATCCTTGACAGCTTCAATATTTTCTCCATTTATCATGATGTCGCTTATCAGTCCAGTTGTGAGGGTATTTGTTTTCTTTATATTGAAGTGTAATCCATACTGAAGGCTGTAATCTTTGATCTTCATCAGTAAGTGCTTCGAGTCCTCTTTACTTTCAGCAAGCGAGGTTGTGTCATCTGCATATCGCAGGTTGTTAATGAGTCCTTCTCCCATCCTGATGACACATTCTTCATATAGTCCAGCTTCCCAGATTATCTGCTCAGAATACAGACTGAATAAGTCTGGTGAAAGGATACAACCCTGACATACACCCTTCCTGATTTTAAACCATGCAGTATCCCCTTGTTCTGTTTGACTGACTGCCTCTTGGTCTATGTACAGGTTCCGCATGAGCACAATTAAATATTCTAGAATTCCCATTCTTCCCAATGTTATCCATAATATGTTTGATCCACAGAGTCAAATGCCTCTGCATAGTGAATAAAACACAGGTAAACATCTTTCTGGTATTCTCTGCTTTCAGCCAAAATTCATCTGACATCGGCAATGGTTTCCCTCATTCCACATTCTCTTCTAAATCTGGCTTGAATTTCTGGCAATTCCCTGTTGATGTACTGCTGCAACCGTTTTTTAATTATCTTCTGCAAAAGTTTACTTGCGTGTGATATTAATGATACTGTTTGTTAATTTCTGCATCCTGTTAGATGACCTTTCTTTGGAATGGGCACAAACATGGGTCTCCTCCAGTCGGTTGGCCAGATGGCTGTCTTCCAAATTTTCTGGCATAGACGAGCAAGCACCTCTAGCACTGCATGCGTTTGTTGAAACATCTCAGTCTGTATTCCATGACTCTGTGTATTCCATCTTCTTCTGATGCTTCCTGTGTCTTTCAGTATTTTGCCCACAGAATTCTTCAAAATTGCAACACAAGGCTTGAATTTTTTCTTCAGTTCTTTCAGCTTGAGAAGTGCTGGACATTTTCTTCCCTTTTTGTTTTCTAACTCAAGGTCTTTGCACATTTCATTGTAATACTTTACTTTGTCTTCTTGAGTCAGCCTTTGAAATCTTCTGTTCAACTCTTTTACTTCATCATTTTTTCCATCCACTTTAGCTACTCTATGTTCAACAACAAATTTCAGAGTCTCTTCTGAATCCATTTTGGTCTTTTCTTTCCCTCCTTTCTTTTTAATGACCCTGTTTTCTTCATGTATGATGTCATTCCACAACTCATCTGGTCTTTAGTCATTAGTGTTCAATGCATCAAATCTACTGTTGAGATGGTCTCCAAATTCAGGTGGGATACACTCAAGGTCCTATTTTGGTTCTTGTGGACTTGTTTTAATTTTCTTCAGCTTCAACTTAAACTTGCATATGAGTAATTGATGGTCTGTTCTGCAGCTGACCCCTGGCCTTGTTCTGACTGATGATAGGGAGCTTCTCTATCATCTCTTTCCTCAGATGTAGTCAATTTGACTCCTGTATTTTCCATCTGTTAGGTCCACGTGTATAGTTCCATTTATGCTGTTGGAAAAAGCTATTTGCAACAAGTAAGTCGTTGGTCTTGCAAAATTCTATCATGTGATCTCTGGTGTCATTTCTATTACCAAGGCCATATTTTCCAACTACAGATCCTTTTCCTTTGTTTCCAATTTCATATTCCAATCACCAGTAATTATCAGTGCATCTCAACTGCGTGTTTGATCAATTTCAGACTGCGGAAGTTAGTAAAAGTCTTAAATTTCTTCATCTTTGACATCAGTGGTTAGTATGTAAATTTGAATAATAGTTGTATTAACTGGTCTTCCTTGTTGTTGTTAGGTGCCGTGGAGTCAGTTCTGACTCAGAGCAACCCTATGTACAACAGAACGAAACACTGCATGGTCTTGCACCATCCTCACAATCGATGTTATGCTTAAGCCTGTTGTTGAAGCCGCTGTGTCAATCCATCTCATTGAGGGTCTTCCTCTTTTTCGCTGACCCTCCACTTTACTAAGTGTGATGTCCTTATCCAAGGACTGGTCTTCCTTGTAGGCATATGGATATTAACCTATCACTACAGCAGTGTACTTCAGGATAAATCTTGAAATGTACTTTTTAACAGATATTGGTTCATAATTCAGTAAAAATAAATGCTCACGTGGCTGCGCGTGTGTGTGCTGAAGGAGAGTCATTCCATTTCTAGATTCCTTGTTCAGTTCAAATCTGTGATATCACACACCCCTGCCCTTGTCAGAATACAAGCTTGCCTTCTTATACCTCACCTTTAAACACACGGTCCTTCTGTAGTGATCACATGCTTGAGAGGCCTTTTTAGCTTCATCCACACAGGCCATGGTGTTCTCTCGCCAGCGATGTAACACGACCCTGCAGGTAAACAGGCCAGGACAGGTGGGGGGATGACACCAGTATGGGAGATAATGGGAGGTGTCTATGAATCATTCCTAGCTGTTCACACGGCTTCTGAATCAAGGATTCTGCATGCCAAAGAACATCTGTTTCACTGATATCCATGCTTATGTCCATATATACATTCAGGAAATAGTTACTGAGCATTGGCTATGTGCCAGCACTGGGTAAGAACTAGGATACAGTAGTGAACAAGACCAAACACCATGGCCTGCCATGGGGGACACAGAGACATAACTAGGCAATGACAATACAGGTGATTCATGCTATGATAAGAGAAGTACAGAGAAACAGGGAAGCTAAACTCATTGTTTGCTTACTGGTGAGTTAGTTCAGGAAAAGTCTCTCTCCAGTCATCCTGTCTGAGGAGCTGGATGGGTACTTTATGGGACCCCAAAGGAAGGACAGAGGTGTTAAAAGCCCACAAGGCCTACTTCCCACAGGCAGGCCGGAATAGCATGTGTTGAACAAATACAAAGGAAGGAAAAGGTCTGTGAAACAGGGGCCTAAGGGAAGCCTACTTGGAAGGAGTGAGCTTAGAAGGAACTAGAGGGTGGGGCTTAAGAGAGACAGGAGCTGAGGCAGACAGGTGACCTCAAAGGGCCTGAAAGATGCTGATGTCTTAGAAGACCAAGATGATTCTGCAGTTAGTGAAAGGCAAGCTGAGAGGGAATGGACTGAGAACAAAGGAAGTCACCGCTGCCTCTGGAGCAGGAAAGGTGATGAAATGGTACCTGGGGAGCAGGCATGAAACAAGCAGGAAAAAGTGCTCAGAGGAGCAAAAAATGGGAGATCTTGCAGGCATCCGGTGAGAGCTGCTTTCTAGTGGTCCTGCCTTGCACACAGCAGGTGTTCAAGACAGTGAGTTGAAAAAGTGGATTATGTGTTTGCTGTGGAAAAGCCAAAACCATGATGCAAGCAGTAGAAGGCACCCAGGCCCACCTCCGTCTGGGCCTTGGCTGGATTCCCCAAACTGCCTTGCTCTGAGTCTTGCGATGAGGCTCACCCCCTAGAACTGAGCCTCATTACTCAGGCCAGGCTCTGTGAGACGCAGGGAGACTCACCGCAGCAGCTGTCTTTTGTGCTGGCTCTCCCTGGCTGCCACCTCTTGTAGGACACGCTGCATCCTGTCCTGGTAAGTCTGTAGGGGATGAGGACTGGAGGCTGCCCCTGGTCCCACACTTCTCCCTATTCCCAGGGATGTCTGAGAAGCACATTTATAAAAGGGCAGCAATGCTTGGGGCACTCACCACAAAGGATGTGGAGAGGCCAAAAAAAAAACCCACTTCCAAGGTCAGGAGACCCTCCCAGAAGTCAGAAAGGAGACTGTCTCACTATGCCCTTGCCCCATTAAATCAAACCACGGGACTCTTGGACACAGGCCACTTTTATTTTAAGGCTGGTGCCATCGACAGCAACTGTTTCCGCTTTGCCAAGCCAGGGTCAAAAGAACTTGGCCTCAAGGCTGGAGGCCTCAAGGCTGGAGGCCCCAGTCTGTCCAGGGCATTTGCTGTTTGAGACTTGTCAAGCTACTGTGTTTCGGGAGAAGCAGGAGGCATGGGGCAGGAGACAAAGCCTCCAGAGCCCTCCCCAGATAGCAAGAGACCCAGAGGAAAGCAGCAGGTCCTACCACCCATCTCTGCAGCACCCTTTGCAGCAAGGAGTGCTGGTGATGCAGGTCAGCTCGCACCAGCTTCTGCCGCTCAGTGTTGCGCAGGGCCAGGCACTGCAGAACAGAGCCGGGGGTCAGTTGCCAGCCTGGCCTCCGTGTTACCAGCTGATGAGCTCAGGTAAGGCCCATTACCCCCATGAGCTACAGTCTCCTCGGCTATAAATATATACCTCTTAGGGTTTTGGTGAGAATAAGTGAGGCAAGTACCTGACTTATGGTAAATGCTCAATCGATCTTAGCTTAAACATTTATTTCCCGAGTAGTCTCTCTGTAAATGATTAATAAGGAATTTTAGATTTAGTAAGTTCAGATAAGAACAGCCTATCACCTCTAAGGAAAAGGGGATTTTGAGCCAATTACCCCATGGAAGTGGGTTAACGCTTCTTCAGCTGCTTGCCCAGCCCTTCCCTCAGCTCCGAGCAGGTGGTTTCCTAAGGACTGCCACGTAGCTCTCATGTCTGCTCTGAGTCACCCTAACACACATCCCCACCTATCCAAAGCCACACATGGTGGTGCTGCACCGAGGCCTTACCTCCCTCCACCTCTTCCAGGCCCAACGCAGGAGCTGTACACAGTAGAACTCTGCAGCTTGTGCCTTTCCCAGGTTCCTGTAGGGAGACAGGGCAGAGTTCAGAGTGGCAGCCCGGCCTCAGAGCTAGAGTTGTCTGGCCCCTGTCTAGTGGTATGGGTCAAGATCCCCTCAGAAGGGTGCCCAGATATCACCAATGACCGCCCTGACAGGGAACACAACAGACAGTCCTTGATGGAGCAGGAGAAAAGTGGGTTGCATAACTCAAATTCTAGAAAAAAGACCAGACTTAATGGTTTGATTGCGACTGAAGAGACTCCAGAAGACATGGCCCCTAGACTCTCTGTTAGCCCAAAGCTAAAACCATTCCCGAGGCCAACTCTTCAGACAAAGATTAGACTGGACTCTGGGACATAAAATGATACTCATGAAGAGTGTGCTTCTTAGCTCAAGTAGATACATGGGACTAAATGGGCAGCTCCTGAAGGAGGTGAGATGAGAAGGCAGAGAGGGTCAGGAGCTGGTTGAATGGACACTGGAAATCCGGGGTGCAAAGGAGGAGTGTGCTGTCACAGTATAGAGAGAGCAACAAGGGTCATGTAACAAGTATGTATAAATTTTTGTATGAGACTAACTTGAAATGTAAACTTCCACTTAAAGCACAATTTAAAAAATAACATCCCCCCAGAAGAACTGACAAAAGATGTGGGCACCCCAGAAGAGTCCACATATAACAGAATTTCTGCACACACCTTCAAGGGGCTTCAAGTACCATGGAAGCTTGTTCATGTGCAGCTGGGATGAAGACCCCTGCCCAAGAAGGAGGTTAAAAAGGATAAAACGTAGCCAGAGTTTGAGAGGTGGTAAGATCCCTAGAACAGAGTAGATACAGAAAGGTGCCAAAGCAGGGCCACCCCTGCAGTGGACACATGGGCTTCCGGCCCTGCCCCAGACTCCAACCACACAGCATAGTGAAAATGGCCACAACTGACCTTCTGCCCACCACTGACCTTCTGCCCACCACTGCTTGTCCTGGGTTGGTCAGCTATGCCCCCCAGTGCTAACTTCCCACCACATGGCTGGGGAGCAGGAACTTTTGTCCCCTATCAATTCCTGAAGCTGGGAGCTCTAAGATCATGCAAGCCTGGGTTTTGCTTAAGAGGTTTAAGGTTGGATTTCTAACTTACAACCAGAGTCTAGGCTTACAGACCCTCCTGAAAGGCACTTGAGGCTGAAGGCGCAGCTACTATGATCAAAGCTTGCCTGGAGGTGGGAAGGGCTGCTGAGGCAGGCCCAGCCACTCACTCTGTTCTGAGCCCTCGGGCACTCTCCCTCCAGACATGAAAGGTTCTCCTGACCCGCCAGTGACGGTGGTGGGCACAGGCCACTGCTTGCCTCTGTCGCTCCTGGTGACGTGCTGCCACCTGCTGCTGCCATGTGGACCAGGCCCTGTGCAGAAGCCGCTGCTCAGCATGAAGGATGGCCTGGGCAGTCAAGAGGAGAGAAGACAATGGGTCAGGTAGGAGGGGCACAGAAGCCAGGGAGGAATCTACAGGCCAAGAATACAGCCCAAGGTAAAAGCAATGCACAATCAGGGAGTGCCCTGGCCCACAGCTGTCTGTAAACTCCACTGACAAACACTTGCTTTGGCCCTGTCCCTTCCTTGGGAGCCCTTCAGTGTGGCTCTGGGTTCTTTGCACAGTCCTGAGGAGACAGGGGTGGGGCAGGCAGTGGATCAAAGGCCTGAAATGGGTAGCACCCTTCTCAGGGAAAGCCACTTACCACTCTCTCTGCCAAGCGGTTTTCTCGATGCTGAGACATCTTCTGCCACCAAATAGCAAATACCTGCCTCCCTAGCATTTCCCTAAAATAACAAATAACAGTAAAGCTATTAAAATAAAACAAAATCAAAAACTCCTAAAGGACCAGAAGTTCCAAATAACTGGATTTTTCCTCTTACACTGTGCTGTTGTTTAAGAGGTGAATCAGCGTTGATGGGGGAGAAAGCAAAGAAAGTAGAAGGGGAAGGGAGGAAACTAGGAGGGAAAGGGAAGGAAAGAAGACAGTAACCAAACCCCCAACATTTTCCAAGTTATTTCTGGTACCAGCCAAGTATCTGTACACTGCGCAAAGACCCTGACCTTGAGACCCTGGCCCTTCATGAATTCAACATTATCTAACAACCCCAAGGGCCTGCTCCACGTGAGACACTGGGGCCAGCATGATGATGATCAACATCTGCCTTGCTGTCGAGGCACTCAGACTCACAGAGATACCACAAGGGAACTTTCTGGGGTGGTGCAAAGGTTCTATATCTTGACTGGGGTGTTGATTATCCAGGTATATAATTTGTGAAAATTCATCAAACTATTTACTTGACATCTGTGCCTTTCACTGTATGTAAATTTTATCTAAATTTTTTTTTAAATAACAAACCAGTTTTTTCTCAATATAATTATTTTGCTAGAGGGTTAATAAACTATAATTTTTAATCATAATTCATGAGATTCTACCATAAATTCTGTCCGTATTCCTAAAAAAAAAAAAAAATCACCGTAAGAGTTTTGGAAAAATAAGACAAGATACTTATTTATCCGGAACTTGAACCAGGAATTCTCATCTATTATGATTAAAAAAAAAACAACAAAGCAGAATATACTTTCAAGATTTGTTAGATTCCAAACCAAACCTACAAATATTTATTAACTATGAGAGTCACAAATAAGTCAATTCCAGAGGGGAGGGAGATGGCTAATATTTTGTGCTGGGCACAAATGGATTATCTCATTTCATGACACCCCTGTAAGAGAAGGACTATCATCATATCATCTCCATCTTACACTTGAGGAAACTGAGGATCAGAAACACTGTCTGCCCTGCCTGGGGTGACAGAGCTAAGGGGAAAAGCAAGTCTGAACTCAGGTTTACCCAGCTTCCAGTCAGCTTTCAATCACTCTGCTCCCTCATGAACCAGGCAGACTGGAACCTAAAAACATTAGGCCTGTCTTCCGTGGTGCCTCTGGGTGGATTCCAGCTGCCAATCTTTCGGCCAGTTGTTACACGCTTAACGATTTGTACCACCCAGGGACTCCTCATACGTATTTACCACAATCAAGAAAAAAGTCCAACCCAACCACAAGATAAAACCTATATTAGGCCTTCACCATTCTTCACATGTACTATTGAACAAGCCTCTTGGTTCTGATATGTCTCCAGAGTGACAGCTCTAGGCACTCATCAGCCAAGGCTGCTCCCTGTGAAAATCCTCTTAGAAACTCCTCTTGCTACTCTGAAGGTTATCTCTCAATGTTTGGTCCCCACAGCCTAACAAAATACAAAGAAGCAGCAGAACTAAGCCTGGCTTTGTATTTGTTTATGAAGGAAACAAAGGGGCATGTGTATCTTTTTAAAGTACTGAGGCCATTTTTCATATGGCTCTTCCAGCAGACCTCAATACAGGAACCAGGTAAAGGTGAAGGTGCCCTGCTTGCAGAAGGGGGCAGAGGCAAGAGCTACCCCCTGTCAGCCTCTATCCCCCATGGCCATCCTCCAAAAACAGCTCCTTGGACTTTGTGCTAAGGAGCGCCAGAGTTCTAGCTGACCACCTCAGTCTACATTCACAGTCCTCCAAAATCAAGATCATTGCAACTTCTCCCAATGCATGTCCCTCCCTCTTGTCTCTCTGTCCTATGTTGCTGCACACAGGACTCAGGGTAATCTCCAAAACTGTCACCTTACCAGTTCCAGGTGCCTACTCAAGCATCTGTCAGCCATCTATCTATAGAATCAGTCCCATTCCCTTAGTCTGGTCCTCCTCTCTTACCCAACCGCAGCCATTCATCCTCACCTAAAGCTCACGGGAAGCCTCCCAAAGATAGTTCAATGCCTCCTCCACCTGCCACCCTCAGCACTAGTTCCAAGCTCTAGAAGAACTTGTGGCTGACAGAATTAAGGACACATAGACCTAGTCTCCTGATTTGTTCTTCAGTTGTTTCTTGTGTGTCAGTCTATCTCCCCACAAAAGTGTAAAGCTCCTACAAAGCCACGAAAAATGTCTTCTCTCTCTTGATCCAGTAGAATGCACCTGGACTTTGGAATTAGAGATCTGAATTTAAATCCTGGCTCTGCCACTTACTGGTTATGTTAACCATGTGCAAGTCATTTTGAACCTATTTTCTCATCTGTAAAATGGGCTAATAATCACTATTTCAGAACTGCTGTGAGGATGAAACTACTAAATAAGATCATGATGTCATAAGGCTTTCTTGCCTCTCTGCCATCATACAATGCTCGCCACAGTGGTAGACACACAGTAAGTCATTTATAATTTCTCCAAGACATTCCACCAACATGCAATAAGGAGCTGCTATGCGCCAGTTTGCCCCTGAGGGAGGTAAAAAGATGTAGATCTGCTCCTAGCCCTTGTGACTTCAAAAAGCTAGGTCTAGCAGAACAGGAACCACATTGCAGGATGCCTCCAAGGTGATGCAGGTCCAGACACACTCATGCAGAAAGCTAATGGGGAGTTTTAATGGTGCTCACAGTGGCTTGTTATGAGGGAAGAGCAAAAGACCCAGGCTTTGTTTTGAAAGCACTTGCAACAAAGATGAACAGAAGTTTTCCCAGGGGAAATACTGGCCTCTTTCCACTAGATGAAATCAATGAGCCCACATTATTAAAAAACCAGTAAGAGCCAGGGCCTTGGGGGCTGTGAACTGAAAAGCACAGCAAATAGGCTGTGTGGTTAGCAGGTAGACTCAAGACACGGGCCCAGGGCAGACAGCATACCTGTGAAAACATACTGCTCTTGCGTTCAGGGCACTTTCCTGCTGGTGCCATCGCCAGAGTCTCCTCCATGCCTGGAAGGCAGCAGGCAGGGCTTTCTGCTGGAAATGGCCATCTGCTCTGGCCTGCAGCAGCTAGAGTAAAGCAATGAATGACCTTCATTTTTACTTTACATTTAAAAAAAAAATTACCTTCGAGGGTCACACTCTTGAAGGAGAGTTGCTTCCTACATAATCAAATTGAGAAAAAGATGCAAATCATTCATTTTAACCTGTCCGTCTGATAGGTGAAAAATAAAATAAAGGTGGAAGTGTTTCATTTTTTAAAGTATAAGTAGGGTTAAGCATCTTTTTGTATATTATTTCAGACACACGTACATATCTGAATTTTTCTTCCAGTGACTTAGGTGTTCATACCCATCATCCATTTTACTATCTGACTCTCCACATTTAACTCAGTGATATGGCCTTTTCGAACATTAAGAAATTTATCAGCCCTTTGTCATGTGTGTCACAAATATTTTTCTCACCCTGTAATACGTCTTTTGACTTTGTTGAGAGTGTCTGTCAACAGATTCTTTTAATTTTTATGCAATTATATAGAAGACTACTAGTTTACTGTTATATCAGTAGAAAACGGACAACTGACATAAGACCATACATGCTTCTATGATCAAAAACTTTGGGAGGGGGAGCATAGATGTATGTGCAGTGATTTTTAAAACATGACTGTAATTTCTTTGATTTCCTTCATCAAGAAGTGGTCTGTCCCCTCCCTTTGAATCTGGTTGGGCTAGTGACTGCTTTGACCAATAGAGTATGGCAAAAGTGACATTATCTGACCTCTGAGGCTATGTCATAAAGGGCCATACAGGTGCTGCCTTATTCACTGGAATAAGCTATGAGTCAGAATCAACTTGACAGCAAACCCATTGTTGTCGAGTAGACTCCAACTCCTAGTGGTCCTGTAGGACAGGGCAGAACTGCCCCATAGGGTTTCCAAGGCTGTAATCTTTATGGAAGCAGACTGCCACATCTTTGTCCTGTGGAGCAGCTGATGGTTTCAAACCACCCACCTTTCGGTTAGCAGCTAAGTGCTTAACCACTGTGCAACCAGGGCCCCTTTACCCTGGGTTAGTAGCACCCAAATGCCAAGATGATCCTTGGAGCAATCAATGACATTTGTTCACTCGTTCATTTATTCAAATATTAGTCAGCACCTATGACGAATGTCAGGCACTATGTTGGGCTACGGTGATGAAAGATACAGGTTGTACTCTTAAAAGAACTCACTCTCCTGGCAGCAAAGACAGGTGAGTAAACAACTATGCAATAAATACTCTGAAAAAGGTACGCATGGGGGGGTGGGCTGAAGGAGGAAGTAATACCTGAGCTCAAAGGGCAGTGAGGAATAGAGAAATGCAGGTATAGTAAGGAGGAGGAGGAGAAATAGACAACCACCAGCTCCCAAAGGAATTTGTATGCCTCTTTAAAGAATTTGGATTCTATCCTAAAACTATGGGAAGCTAGCCAAAATCTTTAGATTCATGTGTCAGATTCTAGCAGCAGATGGAAGTGGGGGTAGGGAGGGCAGCACGGAAATGTCCCATTTTGGAATTTGGTTTGAGTCTCCCTCTGTTTCACTGCCAGGGATGGTCAAAGAGTGGATGTGCAGTGCGGCACCACTTCCTGATGCAACGCCCACTCGATGGCACTACTTCAACACACATCCCCATGGAGCCTGCAGAGGGCCTCTCAACAGTCCTCAGCTTAGCACTCCAGACAGCTATTCCCATCACTGCAAACTGGCCTACAAGAGCACGTTCATGTGTCACTCTGGCGCTGAAATATAAGCCCTGTGAGAGCAGGACTTTTGTCTACTTTGCATCACAGTTACAACCTCAGGGCTTAAGCACTGTCAGAATTACAGCAGTTACTCAAATATTTCTTACATGGAATTGAACCCGTTTTTCCCAATCTGCCTTCACTAACTCATCATTCTGACCCCCATGTCCCCTCACCCACTGTGGGCACTCCTACATCTTCACTGGTCAGCACTGGGGTACGGCACTTTCGCTCTGGACTTGTCTCCATGTCTCCTGAAGGCCCAACTGGATGATGGGCTGGCTCATCTAATAATAAATGAATTTGAGTAGGGAAGTAAATGACTGGTGAGTGCTCACTACTCTCAGTGAGCACCTGCATTTTCCGAGCAGATGAAGGAGCAGGGAGTTACACAGGCTTTCTGATGTCACTACTGGAGGCTGGAAGGAGACTTCTGAGCTTTTAGAGCAGCCCTTCTTCCAAATCAAGACATCCTAGCACAGGCCTTTTTAAAGAATTTTTCCAAAGCAAATGGATCTAAGATAAGTGACTATTAAAGGATTCCATACCTGCTTGTAGCGTCTATTCCGAGTGTGCTGTAACCACAATTTGATACACTTGTGTAGCAATGTTATCCTGAAATAAAATACAGAACACCAATAAGGTATTGCCTATCCTCAACTTCAGGTTTCAGGTTCTTTATTTTTAAGGCAGGTAAACCCAGTGTAGTTACTTCGTGAGAGTTAAAAGGACCCCACAGCCTTCTTCATTTCATTCTAGGAGAAGGAAACAAGACGCTGCTTCTAACATGCAACCTCTTAGGCTCTGATCTCGGATTGTGGCATGCCTGAGAACACTAGCAACATCTGTGTAATCCTAACCAGACCACCAAGCACAGTGTCTCTGGAATTTAGGAAATACATATGAAATCTCCAAATATCCTGAATTTTCTGGCTTACGGGCCAAACTCTGTTTAGGACTACCTGGGTCTGTGACATCCTGTTCACTTTCGTGTACAGTGATACTGAGAGCAAGAGCCACATCTGGTTTTATAAGCCAGGATTTAGAATAGAGATATACCTTGATAACTCAGAACTGAATCAGTTAAATATTGCAATTCTCACTGACTCATTAAAAAAACGCTCCAGAATTGGTCCTCTAACGATGCTAATTAAGCTGATTATACTGTTAGAGGGAGGGAAATATCTGCTTTTATAGTGCTGCTAAAAAAAACACAAAACTATCTTTTAAAATAATAGGCTGTTATTTCACCTTTACATAGACTATACATACTACAAACATGTGGCTTCGTGGATAAAAAAATATATGGATCCCACTGGAATAAAAGTAGTGTAGAAGAGAGATCACTCTTTCAAGAAGTGAGGGGAACATCAGCATCCTATAATGACAAGCCATTATTACCGTTCACAGGTAAGAATGAAAACTAGGTTCCTGCACAGTCTGGGTATGGGACACAGGAGACTCACAGACTGCTTGCAGCCACCTTTTCAGGGGCTGAAGGAAAGATGAATAAGACAATAAAAGCAAACTGCAGAATCTTATGTGTGGTAAGATTCCACCTGCTGGAAAGGCAAAGCAAGGGTATATTAAACATTTCTGGCAGCAGAAATGTTACCTCTGAGGAATAAGACTAAAGGGCTGTAGGGAGGGACAAGGCAAGTTTTATTTTTCACTTTATACCTCCCTTCCCATACATTCTGATTTTTTCCCACGGACACACACTGCTTGTATTTATTTAACTGAACGGCTAACTCCACAAAACTGAGGACACGTCTGCAGCCTTCGAGGCCAAGCCATAAATGTCCACCTGGCCTGCACATTCTTTTAAAACTGACGATAAAAATACCAATGCATAAAGTCTAAGATGTGAAGAGTACTAATGCCTGAGGGCCAGACAGATACTTCAAACCACGGTGGGCAAGAACCGGCACAAATATCTTCACTCTGCTTCCCATCTGATCAGCCAAAAGGTTCACAGTAGCATCTCTGCCCCAGAAGGGCCTTTTTGAATCGGCCACAGGAATGCATGGAAGGATAAGTGATCACTCTTGGGATACACTGACTCAGAACCACAGGCATCCCTGGAAGACAGAGCTGAGTTCCTACCTGTAGTGATCCCTGGCAGCATGCAGTAAGGTGAGCTGTTCCTGTTCCTCCTTCTGCTCAAGCAGAGACTGCCAGGAGTCCCAGAACCTGCGCAGCAGCTGCAGCAAGACAGGAAGGAAATGGAAATTTACTAAGGCAAAAGGTAAAATGAGCTCTCCTAACCTATTAATTAGTTAATCCCTACTCCAATGGTCTGTAAATTTCCCCAAAGCAGGAAATTACCTCCATTTGGAGCAGCCAACACAGAGCAGGCTTGCAAAAGAATTACAGCTGAGCTAGATGGAGCTACAGGGCAAAAGGCAAAAGATGGATCTTCCTGCCTATGGAAATCTGGATGAAGAGGCTATTCCAAATCTGGGTCTCTTTTAGAAATTAAAGCCAGTCATATCGCATATTATCACCTATGAGGTAGCCTTGCCAAAAATGTTTAATGTAATCAAGCCCGTAGATCTAACTTTTCATTTATAGGAACAAAAGAATAAAGGAGAATTAAATGACATCAAGAGGAAATAATCAGACAAATCTAGAATAAGGAACATTGTATGAACTAACTGGCCAGTTCTTTCTGAGTCAAAGTCATTAAAAAAAAGCATTAGCGTGTGTGTGCTGGGGGTGGGGATGGTGGGGTAGGGAGGGATCCAAGCAAGTTCTATTTTTTATTTTATACCTTCCCTCCTATACATTCTGATTTTTCCCCCATGCACATGCACTGCTCATATTTATTTTAACTGAATGGCTAACTGTAGAAAATTGAGGACACGTTCTGCAGCCTTAAAGGCTGAGCCATAAATGTCCACCTGGCCTGCTCCTTCTCTTTAAAACTAATGCATAAAGTCTAAGATTTTAGAGACTCAACAACCAAAGTTATCAAGTGATCCTTGATTGAATCTTGGTTTGAATAAAAAACAGCTATAAAGACATTTTAGGAACAATTGTGGAAATTTGAATATAGACTAGGTATTGGAAAATATTAAATTAAATCACTGTTAATTTTGTTAGGGATGACACTATGGTTATGCAAGAAAATGTCCTTATTTTTATTTTATTTTTTTCCCCTGTAAGACATAAACAGTGTTTGCTTCTCGTCTGCCTAGGGACCAAACTCAAGGAAAATGTCCTTATTTTTAGGCTGAAATGCTGAGATGTAAAGTGTCATGATATTTGTAGTTTACCTTGAAACGATTTTGCAAAAAAAAAACAATACAGCAAATTGTTGAATCTAGGTGGTGAGTATACAGGTGTTTATTATACTAATATTTCTATTTTTCTATATGTTTGAAAATTTTCATAATTAAAAAAAACAACCAAACAAGAAACTTGACCCCATCCTCCTGCACCCAGTAGAGATAGAAGGTTCTTGCCCTCGGTAAACCAATGAAGAGAACAACCTCCTATAACGCAAGACTGAATGTGTATTTGTATCACCACATCCCTTAGGTTAGCACTGGAATTGAGGGTTTCTCAACTCTGATTCAACTATCTATTTTCCTAGCAAACAGATAAAAAATCAGATTAATCAAGGCAAAAAATAAAGAGTTTCTCTACCAGCAGGATGGATTACCGAAGAAAACAGACACTAAGACTTTGGAGTCTAAAGGTCTGGAAAAATCTCTAAGCACAAAGGCTGAAAAGAGAAGACAGCCATCAGAAGAGGCCTTAATAGAGAACACTGCCCTCACCATGGCCTCATGCTGCTGGTGCGCGAGATTCCTTCTTATCTGCTGGAGATGGGCCCAGGCCACATTGTCCTTTAGGGCTCTAAAGCAAAAGGACTGTGAAAAGAAGAAAGGACACACCGATTACTAAATTATAGCACAATACGAAGTAACAGCAGAAAAAGGAAGGCAGTAGCCCACATCAGGTTGGAGAAGCCCATTCACAGCTGCCACCATTCCTGAGAGGGTTTCTCTACTTTGGGATTCAATCTGAAACCATACCCAAGTTAGCCCACACAGTAGGCACTTCATAAGTATTTGGTGAACCAGTCACACTCTTTTGCCTTTAGCCAGGAGAGATCCCCATACCTATGAATGACACATAAGGAACTTACCAGTGGGGTCAACTTGTATGTTTATATAATAATGCAGTTTTGCTAGAGTAGAATAGAAAGAACCTTTGGGGGACAGGGCAGGATATCTGGGCCTGGCGAGAGCTCCATCAGTAAGGACTTAGGCGACCTAAGCAGGAGCACTGGTGGCAGAGCGGTTAAGAGTTTGGCTGCTAACCAAAAGGTCGGCAATTCGAATCCACCAGCCGCTCCTTGGAAACCCTATGGGGCTGTTCTACCCTGCCCTATAGGGTTACTATGAGTTGGAATTGACTCAACAACAGGTTTGGGTTTCTGTGTGTGTGACCTAAGCAAAAGCCATCTTCCCACCCCTCTGTGCTTCAGTTTTCTGAAACAGAAGTGACGGGATTGGACTGGACTGGGGTTTTCACATTGTGCTCTCTGGAGGAACTCCACAGGCTCATGAGTAAATGGACGAAGACCACCTCATATGCTGAGGGTAGGGGAGAGCAGCTGGTATAACAGGGACTGACTCCAAAGATCTTGCTTCAACCACAGCATGTCTACTTTGATTATTTTACAGACTAGGGGTTCTACCATTTAAAAGACATCCCAGGACTAGATCACCTCTGAAGCTGTCTTACAGCTCCAACCCCTCTGATCCCACACCATTACACTCTCTGATCCAAAATGCAAACAGGGACACCCACAATGAAGGGAGGGGATCACAACTGATGTGCTTCAAGGACACCAGGTGGTCCTGGTCCCCCAGCAGAGCCTGTGGGTGCTGTGAGGGCTTGCAGTGCTCTTACCAGCAGGCGGTGCCGGCAGTGCTCCTCCACCATCTTACGCTGGGCAGCTTCTTCTGCACACATCAGCACATCTGCCAGGAAGTTAAGGCCCCTAATTTCAACAAGCTTCCCACCTGCATGCAGTGTGATTCCTTAGTGACTCATCTGAAGGGTCATGGCAGCGGGTTATAATGGGCATGCCACGTAGGGTTGCCTTCCACTTCTTTCTCCTTCTGATGACTCGGGGGAGTAGTGGGCAAAGGGAAACCAGACGAGTTATCCAACAGCTGGCCTTGTCCTTCTCCCCTCTGATGTCCACTTGATCAGAGGAAAAAAATACTGGCTATGTACTGTCACCAATTTCAGTAACCATTTCAAAATCAACATATCGAAAGCTGAGCCTACCCCTCCTCCTGCATTCTGTTTTGGCATCACAATCGAATCAGTTGTTTAAGCTAAAGACACTGGCATTGTTTTCAAATCTTCGCTTCTCTCATTCCCAGCATCTAATCATTCACCAAGTCCATCTGCTCTCCTCCTAAATCTCTTATGTATCTGTCCCCTCTTCTGTTCTTCTGTTTGCCAGCCTGACACCCTGCAGTTCAACTGGTTTGGTCCAAGCCCTTGTCCATCATACAGGCTAGTAAAAGAGACTTATCACATAACTGGTTTCCCTGTGCTAGCCTCCCCCCTCTAATTCAGAATTATCTTCCTAAAGCATAAATCTGACTGCATCACTTCTCTTCTTGAAACCCCCCCGAGGCTCCTTCCCTACTACCATCAGAATCAAGTCCCAGTTCCTGACCACTGCATAGAAGGTCTCTACAGGCTGGTCCCCAGCTACTTGACCTGTGTCTGCTCCACCACCATCCGACCTCCACAATTCACTACAGACTTCCCATCATCATCCTTGAATGCTTCCCTCTCCTCTATGCCTGTATCAGTGCCATCCCTCATAACTGAAATGCCCATCCCACCTTCTCTACTGGGTGAACTTGTCATCCTCTTAAGACTTAAATTCAGCTCAAATATCAACTCCTTGGCTATATCTCCATAGTAGCTCTCAATAAAATCTTTATGATAGCACTTATCCCACCATATTGTAAAGGCCCATTTGTATGTCTATCTTCCCCGCTAGATGATAAACTACTTACTGTTAGTCTTTGAGTTTCCGCGTATCCCAGAACCTAAGCAAGAATTTAACACAAACCAAGAGTTGGATGAACAAATGAGCATGTGGATAAATATCCAAGGCAGTCTAAATCCTGGCACTGGGGCAGGTGTTGTGGATATGTGCACTGGATTCAAAGGGCTAGGTTTAAAAAATCCCAGGTCTGCCAATGACTTGCTGTGACTTTGGATTTAAAAATTACTTAGCACCCCTAAATATCTGTTTCTTCTTCTGTAAAATGGAGATAGTGACCCCTACTCCATCGGGTTGCTATGAGGATTAAGAAGATAATGCATAATGTCCACACATAGTAAAAACTCAATAAATGGTAGCTACTGTCATAGTGAAAGCAGCCCTGGTGACACTGTGGTTAAGTGCTTGGCTGCTAGCCAAAAGTGCTCAAAGCCACTCTGTGGAAGAAAGATGTGGCAGTCTGCTTCTGTAAAGATTACAGCCTGGGAAACCCTATGGGACAGTTCTACTCTGTCCTATAAGGTCGCTATGAGTCAGAATTCACACAACGGCAACAGGCTTGCTTTTTTATTGTCATAGTGATGGCGCCACCAAGGAACAGACAACTATGGCTATTTCCATTGCCTAGTGGGTAGAGAATAGGAATGAAATGATGACAGGAGGGGGAACTCAATCAGGAAGGAGCAGACAGGGTGCTAAGCAATGTTCTATTTCCTTAAGTTGGGTGGTGGGTTCATAGGTGTTTATTACTATTCTTTAAACTGTAAAATATGTTGTCATGGATTGAATTATGTCCCCCCAAACGTGTGTATCAGTTTGGCTGGGCCATGATTTCCGGTATTGTGTGATTTTCCTATGTGTTATCAATCCTGCCTCTATGATGTTAATGATGGAGGATGGGTGCCAGTTGTGTTAGTGAGGCAGGACTCAATTTGCAAGATTGGATTGTGTCCTGGGGCAATCTCTTGCGATATAAAAGACAGATGTGAGCAGTGAGACAGGGGGACCTCATACCATCAAGAAAGGAGTGCCAGGAGCAGAGCCCGTCCTTTTGACCTGGGGTCCCTGAGCTGAGAAGTTCTTAGTCCGGGGGAACATTGATGAGAAGGCCAACAGAGAGCGAAAGCCTTCCCCTGGACCTGACACCCTGAATTTGGACTTTGAGCCTACTTTACTGTAAGGAAATAAACTTCTCTTTGTTAAAACCATCCATTTGTGGTATTTCTGTTATAGCAGCATTAGATGACTAAGACAATGTTATAGGTACTTTTTTGGCTGTATATTCCCAATTAAGCAAAATTTTTTTAATTTTAAAAAAGAAGTCAACAGAGATGAGGGCTGTCTTAAATTGCTCAGAAACTATTTCCCATCTGTCACATGGCTCTTGGTTTACGCACTGATGAGCTCATGCTGTCCTGGCTGAGGCTGGTAGACAGGGCTGGGTGGCTTAAAAGGATACAGTGTTTCCAGTGAGTAAAGGCCCGCCGCAGCACCATCCTCCTGGCCAGCATCTCCACCAGGGAATGGTGGGCGTACAAGCTCTCCCTCCACTCCCAGGCCCACTGCCAATCACAGAAGTGTGTCTGGAGCACAGTGACACGGTGGAATCGTTCTGCCATTTCTGTAACAGAGAGAATAACTTAAGTACTACCCTCCCAAGGTTGGGAGATCAGCTGGAAGCATCTTTAAGACAAGCTGAACCCCACTACTGGCAGAGAGCAGGCATTCAAGACTCCCGTCACAAACAATTCTTAGATAAAAGTTTTTTAAACACTAGAAAGTCATTAGGAACCCCTTAGCTACATTTCCTCTCTCCAAGGAAAGAGAAAAGGCCTGTGTTTTCAGGGAGGGGATGCTATAAAATCTGTTAATGCAAACGGTTGAAGCTTCTACTTAGAATCTAATTAGAATTCCTGACGAGCGGGAATAGCGACCGCTGTTTTCAGACTAGACTCTGTTTTACTTTTGCCTCTTATACTTCTCTCTCCGGATAGAACCTGGGGGCTGAGTCAGTGGCATACAATTCAGTAGACATGCTGCAAAGGCTTTTTTGAACTTTCGGCCAAGTTGATCCTCTTTCTTTTAACGTGAAGCAGCTAATGGCCTGAGAAAGTAGGCTAACACCAGGAAGTGGAAGGTAATCAGTCCTGGAATTAGAATAATGTAATTCGAGGCATGCTTTATGCTGCTGCTCACCATGCTCAAAAGAAAAATGCCTTCACCTTCCAGGCTTGGGCAACCGAACGTTGGTCCCCCATCACTATCATCAAACAGACACAATCAAATGCTCATAAGAGACAGTGCTGGCATCCTAGTAGATTTCTGCAGTGAGGCTTGGGCAAAAGCCAGTGAGCCTAGCCCAATGTCTACCACAGTGCTTGACCCATTTCTGTGTAGGCGCAATAAGCCCAAGCACAAAACAGTGTACCAAGGTCACACTCTATGTATTACTACTTCTGAACTCTAATTGGGAAACTAAACCATGAAAACAGTGTCCAAAAAACCTGACATCATAAATCACATGTATTTGCATAATTAGAAACAATCCAAATATCTATTACTAGAAGAATAGTTAAGTAAATGAAGATAAGCCATCCTATAAAATATGAACAATCATTAAAAAATAACATTTATGAAGAATACTTAAAGACACAGGAAGGTGTTGATTAGTTGTGTGAAAAAAGCAAAATACAAAACTGTATGTATCATGGACTCCAGACTTCCTGGAGCCATGAAGGCTGGAAGAATCCCTGAAACTACTGCCCTGAGATAATCTTTAAACTTTAAATAAAAAATATCCCCTGAAGTCTACTCAAAACCAAACAATAGTTTAGCTTAACTAGTAAAAAATGTTTGCTGCAAGCATTATGCTCTTTTAAGAACTATCTATATGGGATCAAAGCGACAACAGCAACTTGAAAAATTAGAAAGGAACCTTAGGGGCAGTGAGTTTATGTTAATGGGGAGGAACAACTCAGAAAATGAGGGTGAGAATGGCTCACAACTAGAAGAATGTAATCAATGTCACTGAATTGTACACGTAGAAACTATTGAATTGGTGTATGTTTTGCTGAGTATATTCTCAACAACAAAATAAAATTAAAAAAAAAAACTGTATGTATCTTCATGTTAATCATAACAATCACAATACATACAGGATAATTAAAACTCAACTGAATAAAATACAAGAAAAGGCCAGAAGGAAATGAATGTGAATCAAGGATGATGTATTTTCTCCTCAATCTTCTCTTTCCAAAATGTCAAGTGTAATGTGTTATGTTTCTTTTTAATAAAGCACCACTGGCAGCAGGAGAGTGATATCTGCGACAGGCCCTCTGTCTCAGCGTCTGTCTGGCACTTCTGCTCACCATTCCTCTCTCTCTTCACTCTGCGGAGCTGCAGATATTCAAGCCAAGCCCTCAGGGAGCTCCACTTTTGCCAGCGCTGATGGTGCTTCACTGCAGAGACCACCTTGTGTCTGTCCCTCTGGACACACAGGAGCCGTTCCTGCCACCGTGACCAAGCCTGAAAGCCAGAGAAAAGACAGTGATCAAAGGAGAGGCAGGAACAAAGGTGAAGTACAGGTGGGGGACAAAGAAGAAGATAGGATGTCTCAAGTTAGGAACAAGGAAACGGCGACCCCCAAGCAGGATCATAAGCTATGGGAACTAGGGGTGAAATGATATTTAAGAAGGGTGTTCTGCTTCCAGAAAGTAATTTTTTTTCTGGGTTAAAGGAGAAAAAAAGAAACAATAAAAACTAATAAGCAGGCAAGAAGAAAGGACAATCCAAGGGGTAGCAAATTGATTCAGATTTGGGGTGGGCTGAGGGTCTGACTTTTCTTCCAAAGTGGGAGGAAACCCATTGTAAAGAGGAACTTTCTCGGGCAGATTAGTTTCAGGGACAGTATCTACAGAACCAGAGGGTCTACAAAAGGATGCCCTGAGACTACTCATAAACATGCATCCCAGGAAAGTCTTCACGTACATTCATGGGTACGCGTGACCCAGTCTGAAAATAGCTGCCTTAGACACTTGACTTCATGCCATCTTTTCATAAATCTGTAACACCTTTCCTTCCTGTCAGTTGACTAGCATTTTTCTTATTTCATCAAGAAAATAAAAGCAATGAAGAGAGAACTTCTTCTATCCAAAGTGATCTATAGATTCAGTGCAATCCCAATCAAAATTCTAACAGCCTTCTTACAGAAATGTAAAAAACAGTCCTCAACTTTATATGGAATAGCAACAGGCCTTGAATAGCTAAAACAATGTTGAAAGAGAAGAACAAAGTAGGAGGGCTCACATTTCTTGATTTTAAAACATACTTCACAGCTACAGTAATCATTAACAACCTGGTACTGGTATAACACCAGACACACAGACCAACAGAATAGAATTGAGAGCCCAGAAATAAACCTACACATCTATGGTCAACTGATTTTTGACAAGGATGCTAAGTCCATTCGATAGGGAGAGAAGAATCTGTTCAAGAAACCGTGTTGAGAAAACTGGATTTTCATATGCAGAAAAATGAAACAGGACCATGGATCACACCATATACAAAAACAAATTCGAAATGGATTAAGGACCTAAATGTACAAACTAAAACCATAAAATTCTCAGAAGAACAAGCAGAGGCAATGATGTCAGGCCTAGCTTTCAACAATGGATTATCTAATAACAAAAGCACAGACAGCAAAAGACAAAATAAATAAATGGGACCTTATAAAGACTTTATCAAAAGACTTTATCAACTGAGGTAGAAAATTTGAACAGACCCGTAACAAAGACACTGAAGGGGTCATAGGAAAAATCCCAACAAAAAAGCCCTGACGCAGACGGCTTCACTGGAGAATTCTACCAAACATTCAGAGAAGAATTGACACCAATTCTACTCTAACTATTCCAGAACACAGAAAAGCTCCAAATTCATTCTATGAAGCCAGGATAACCCTGATACCAAAGCCAGGCAAAGACATCACTAAAAAAGAAAACTACAGACCAATATCTGTCATGAATATAGATGAAAAATTCTCAAGAAAACCTTAGCCAATAGAATCCAATAGCATATCAAAAAAATAATGCATTACAACCAAGTGGGACTCATACCAGGCAGGCAATGATGATTCAACATTAGAAAATCAATCAATGTATTCCACTACATAAATAAAACAAAGGAAAAGAATGACATAATCATCTCAATCAATGCAGAAAAGGCATTTGATAAAGTCCAACACTCATTCCTGATAAAAAACTCTCAGCAAAATAGGAAAAGAAGGGAAATTTCTCAACATAATAAAGGGAATTTATAGAAAACCAACAGCCAACATTATCCTCAATTGAGAAGAGCCTAAAAGCATTCCCCCTGAGAATGGGAATCATACAAGGATGCCCTGTATCATCACTCTTACTCAACATTGTACTGAAAGTCCTAGAGAGAGCAATAAGGCAAGAAAAGGAAATAAAGGGCATCCAAACTGGTAAGGAAGAAGCAAAACTATCCCTATTAGCAGATGATATAAATGATCCTATAAGTAGAAAAAAAGAAAGAAGAATTGATGCCTTTGAATTATGGTGCTGGCGAAGAATACTGAATATGCCATGGACTGGCAAAAGAATGAACAAATCCATCTTGGAAGAAGTACAGTCAGAATGTTCCTTAGAAGCAAGGATGGCAAGATCTCATCTCACATATTCTGGACATGTTATCATGAGGGATCAGTTCCTGGAGAAGGACATGGTGCTTGGTAAAGCAGAGGGTCAGTGAAAAAGAGGAAGACCCTTAACAAGATGGATTGACACAGTGGCTGCAACAGTGGGCTCAAGCCTAACAATGATTGTGAGGATGGTGCAGGACCGGGTAGTGTTTCATTCTGTTGTACACAGGGTCTCTATGAGTTAGAAGCAACTTGACAGCATCTAACAACAATGACATACATACATAGAAAATCCTAAAATTTCCACAACAAAGCTACTAGAACTAATAGAAGGATTCAGCAAAGTGGCAGGATACAAGATCAACATACAAAAATCAGTTGGATTCCTCTACTTCAACAAAGAAAACTTTGAAAATGAAATGAGGAAAACAATACCATTTACAATAGCCCCTTGTCATGGATTGAATTGTGTCCCCCCAAAATATCTGTCAACTTGGCTGGGCCATGATTCCCTGTATTGTGTTACTGTGTACCATTCTGTAATCTGATGCGATTTCCTTATGTGTTGTAAATTCATTCACTATGATCTAATAAGATGGACTAGCGGCAGTTATACTGATGAGGTATATTAGATTGGATGGTGTCTTAAGCCAATCTCTTTTGAGATATGAAAGAGAGAAGCGAGCAGAGACACATGGGAACCTGATACCACCAAGAAAGCAGTGCCGGGAGCAGAGTGCGTCCTTTGGACCTGAGGTTCCTGCGCAGAGAAGCTCCCAGACCAAGGGAAGATTGAAGATGCGGACCTTCCTCCAGAGCCAATAAAGAAAGTGTTCCCTTGGAGCTGACGCTCTGAATTTGAACTTGTAGCCTACTGGACCGTGAGAGAATAAACTTTGTTAAAGCCATCCACTTGTGGTATCTCTGTTACAGCAGTACTAGATGACTAAGACGCCCCCTAAAAGATAAAATACTTAAGAATAAATCTAACCAGGAACGTAAATGACTTATACAAAAAAAAAAAACCTACAAAACACTACTGCAAGAAACCAAAAGAGACCTATATAACTGGAAAAACATACCATGCTCTTGGATAGGAAGACTTAACATTGTGAAAATATCAATACTACCCAAAGTGATATAACGATATAATGCAATCCCAATCCAAACAAGATGGGAAAACTAATCACTAGCTTTACATGGAAGGGAGAGAGGCCCCAAATAAGTAAAGCATTATTAAAGAAGAACAAAGTAGGAGCCCTCACACTACCAAATCTTAGAACCTACTTATACAGCCATGGTAGTCAAAACAGGCTGGTACTGGTATAATAACAGATACATAGACCAAAGGAAAAGAATTGTGAACCCAGATATAAATCCATCCACCTACGAACAGTTATCTTTGACAAATGGTGCTGGCAAAACTGGATATCTATCTGTAGAAAAGTGAAACAGGATCCATATCTCACACCACACACAAAAACTAACTCTAAATGGATCAAAGACCTAAATATAAAACCTAAATTATAAAGATCATGGGGGAAAAAATAGGGACAACACTAGGGGCCCTAATATATGGCATAAACAGAATACCACACATAACTAAAAATGTACACACAGCAGAAAATGAAAAAGATAAATGGGATCTCCTAAAAATTAAACATTTATGCTCAATGAAATACTTTTCCAAGCAAGGGAGAATGAAGAAAACTAAAGATACAAGGGAAAGATTAGTCCAAAGGACTAATGGACCACAACTACCACAGCCTCCACCAGACTGACTCCAGTACAACCAGATGGTGCCTGGCTACCATCACTAACTGCTCTGACAGGGATCACAATAGAGGGTCACAGACACAGCTGGAGAAAAATGTAGAACAAAATTCTAACTCACAAAAAAAGACCAGACTTGCTGGCCTGACAGAGACTGGAGAAACCCTGAGAGTATGGCCCCTGGATACCCTTTTAGCTCAGTAATAAAGTCACTCCGGAGGTTCACCTTTCATCCAAAGATTAGACAGGCCCATAAAACAAAACAAGACTAAAGAGGCACACCACCCCAGGGGCAAGGACTAGAAGACAGAAGGGGATAAGAAAGCTGTTAACAGGGAACCCAAGGTCTAGAAGGGAGAGCGTCGACACGTCGTGAGGTTGCTAACCAACGTCATAAAATAATACGTGTACTGTTTAATGAGAAGCTAGTTTGTTCTGTAAACCTTCATCTAAAGTACAATTAAAAAAAAAAAAAGACTTCTCTAAAAGAGTGAAAAGAGAACCTACAGATGGGGAAAAAATTTTGGCTACGACATATCCAACAACGGTCTAATCTCTAAAATTTAAAGAAAACTTCAACAACAACAAAAGACAAACAATCCAATTAAAAAATGGGCAAAGGATATGAAGGGACACTTCACCAAAGAAGACATTCAGGTGGGCAACAAACATTTGAAGAAATGCTCACAATCATCAGCAATTAGAGATGCAAATCAAAACTACAGTAATATACCATCTCACCCCAACATTACCGGCACTAATCAAAAAAACAGAATAACAAATGTTGGTGAGGATGCAGGGAGGCTGGAACTCATACACTGTTGGTGGGAATGTAAAATGGTACAACCACTTTGGAAAATGGTATGGCACTTCCTCAAAAAGCTAGAAACAGAAATACCATTATGATCCAGCAATCCCATACCTAGGTACATACCCTAAAGAAATAAGAGCCGTGACATGAATAGACATATGCGCACCCATGTTCACTGCAGCATTAGTCACAATAGCGAAAGGGTAGAAACAATCTAAGTGCCAATCAAAAGATGAATGGATTAACAAACTGTGGTACAAAGAAATAATATGCAATGATAAA